CAAATTAAAAATATAGATATGCTTGAGCTACTGATATACTGATATACAAATCGTACACCATGAATATTAATTGTCAATCGAGGGAAAATTTCGTCTTGTATCCACAACTTCGATTGAGATATCTTTTTCGAGAGCAAATGAAGATAAACATCTGTTTTGGGTAAATTTCATCGTCCAATTTCACTATCCATCATGCATGATCGTTCGACTTATCGTTCCATTTGTTTTTTTCTTCTCTGTTTTCATTTTCCATTACGCTAATCTTGAAAGACAAGCAGCGATGAATTGCGGCAGTGAATCACGAACAATGACAATTTTTTTCTTTTTTAAATTGATGAACAAGAGTTCAACAACACTTGTTTTGTATAGATTATAAAATCTTGTCTATTCTCTCAGTCGAATATCGAGTGATCTTTTGAATTAAAGATCACTTAAGATCGGCGTACTAAAACAAGATAAAAAGAAGATCAAATAGAAACTGGAAGTCGATAATAGTGAAGTTAAAATTCTGTCCCCGGTCGGAGAATGTTTTACAATGTACAGTTTGTCGTTAGTTTAAAATTACACTTTAAAAATGCCAGAATCTTATCGCTATAATTTGCAAACATAACATGCATAAACGCAATACGATACAACAAGTGGAGAATTGAGTTTCAACTGACTATGCCTTCAAGTGTGTATAATAAATACTAAATTAGTTCGTCATTCTAATTTCTGATAAATGTGCAATGAAATTGTATATTGTTTTAATTCGAATCTCTTAGCGTTGTGTTCGAATTTGAAAACTATACAAACGAAATTTGTGTGCAAGACAGACCAAGCGAAAACGTAATTTCAAATTTTTAAAAACCATCTCTTCGACAATTAGACTACTCTGGCAACAGCGAAAACGTAATTTCAAATTTTTAGAAACCATCTCTTCGACAATTAGGCTACTCTGGCAACAGCCCGCTTCAATTTTACGCGCGTATTTTAGAAAAATGAAAGAAGAATCCTTATAAATACAAAGTCGCAGTTAATATGAAATCGAATTGAGAATAATGGACTTCCAATAACGGAAACGGAAAAATATAGGGTATTTCATCGGCTATTTCGTTAATCTTCATTTCAGTGACGGGTCGATATTTGTTTAACTTGAGGTAAGACACCAAGGTGTGCTAGACTTCGAGAAGCTTCGAGTGTTTTCTCAATAATAAACGAAGGTTAGCCCGTGTTAAATGATTTTCACGAAGCCTCTCTCTGATTCATCGATATTAAATATTGACATTACGGAAGAAAACGATCAGGGAGCCAGCGATTATGTCTTAACATTGTTCGTTGTTCAAGTTCGCCATGGATATGCACGCTTAATGAAATCTTTCGGAGGGTATCATAAGAATCCCGACGTATAATTTACCTCGAGTTCTATATGTGATTTAAAAAAAAAAAAAAAAGAAAAAAAAACTTCTATATGCGTCTAAACTCATGTAACGTATGTCACACGAAAACAACAACTTGCGTTCTTGTTGCACTTCTGATTTAAATGCAAAACGTATTCGTACATCCTTGAACGTTTAACGATCGATTATAAATACTATAGAAAGTACTCCTTTCTAGTCATTTACATGTAAAAATCGTTGAATGATTTTTGCATGACGGAAGCCTTAATTATAACAATTTTGTAAGAAAAGAAGAAAAAAAGAAAACCTTGCAAAGAATGCGTGGAGAGTAGCTAATGTAGTAATTCGAAAACAATTCTTTGATGTTCCTGAAGAAAAAAAATATTATGAAACACAGGATAAATTGATAAGTATCGAATCAAGTCTTGCAGTTACCAATTACAAATAATTAGCAAATGATTTTTTTTTTTCAAACACGCGGCTGTATTTTAATATTTCGTCATATTGATTGTGAGTCGTCGAGTCCAGCTAATCAATATATCGTCAATCGTAACGATTGCGAAAAAAACGTACAATAGCTCGCAAAAGTTATTGCATATTTATGTACTAGGTATTTATTTAATACATATTTAATAATAATTTTAAATCATCATTTTAAAAAGAAATTAATCAAAGATTCATGCTAACGCTGAACGAATGACTGATCGTTTCGATACTTTTATGAGTGATCTGTAATTTTTATACATATTTTTTTTTTAGATACATTCCAAACACTTTATCAACATAATCGCGACAGTTGAGTCTCATTCTTGTACTAATTGTAAATTTCAGAATACTTGCATTTGCAAGTATTCTGCGCGTATATATATTCATAGAAGATTTCAACAAGTAAATATTCAACTACGTACTCAAATATTTTCATGAGTTACTGTACACACACACATACACACACGGCGTAATAAGAGGCTACTTATTGCGGCTACTTGAGTCATCCAGTATTAAATTATCAACGATAAATACGCGAATGCAATTCCTCAACATGATCATCATTACCTCGAAGAATTTCTTACTTTGTATTTGCTCGCCGTCTATTACGACTGCCAGCCGACATTTATGTCCAATATTAATCACCGGTCAAGGCAGAGGTGAAAAATTAAAGGTCGACAGATAGAGAGTGGAAAGTTGCGTTACGGTGCCACGTCTTGGGCCAATCGTGCACGTGTAATCACATTATTATGATGGCACTCACCTCGAGAGAGGATCGACGAACAGCGCGACGATGATCACAGCAATGACGACGCAGGTTAGATAAATCGCCGAAATTTCGTAAATCTCGGATTCCGGAGGTCGGTCAAGGGTCTCGTGGCCTCCGTTGCTAAGGACACAGAAATCGGCGCCGCACAGCTTGATTTTGTCCCAATTCGTGGTACTGTTGCCACCACCACTGCTGAACTCTCCCCCACTGAGTACTTGGAATCCAAGCAAATAAGAAATTTTTGGTTAGAGGATAAAACTATAAACGTAGTATTGCTAAAGTAAAACAAAATCTTGATCTATGAATCGTGATTATTTCGTAACAATCTTCAGGTTGTAACGTCAATGTAAATCTTCTTTTTCTTATTTATCTAAATATTTGCCCGTTTCATATCTTTTTGTAGAAACTGCAAATTGTTTTACAACAATTGTCTTATTCATCCTCAAAAAAAAAATCTTCAAACTGTTACTGTCTGCTACGAGGAAAAATATCGTATTTCATGCTTTTTATTTACGTGTATTAATTATTCTTTTCTTCTATTTCTTTGTTCGTCATTTTGTTATATCTCGTGAGAATTCAATGGATATACGCAAACAGATGTATTTGAAAAAAAAAAAAAAAAAAAAAAGAAAAGATTCAAATGATCGACGCATTACGTGGAAGACCAATAGGAAATACAATCAAAAGAACGGGATCTCGAAAACGAAATGTATCTTATCTCTACAAGCATAAATCTCTCGATAATTTATCAAGATCCTGTTCAATTTTTCAGATAATCGAGCGATATGTATGCAACTATTTATTGCATCTGATTACGATCTAACAACTGTCCGCGCCATATATATTCATCAAACTATGCAAAATATTCAGACGCGACAAGAAAGCAAAAGGTTAAATCGGATAATCGGAAAATTCCCTCTTGCCAACCGAAACGTCAATCGCCAATCGGAAGCAAATCGTAGAAATTCTATCGTCAGCAGAGAAGTTAATAGCAGGAAAAGAAAAGTTCACAGCGTTTTCTCCAATTTGTGCCACGAATCTCCACCACGATCTCGTCTGTCAAACATGCAAATATCGTGCTAAGCGACGATTATACGACTCCAGAGCGAAACGTATCCACGTATTCTGGAATTTACCACCATTGGCCAATCCTCGTACGCGGTCATCGGACGGCGGAACGACAGGAACTTTCACCGGAGCGTCATTGATAATAGCATAGTATATTTACAATGTCTCCCACCATCGTTTCCGATTGTCCGCAAGTCCTACTTATCGACTTGTGATATATTCAGTTGTTACGTGTGTGCAAGCTCGTCTATGTGTATATCACTGGAACGTGATTTTCTTGCTGAAAGAAGTTCACGGGCCGCCATTTAAACGTTTCAGTAATCTCCACGGTTGCGTGAACCCCGCCAGAGGTTTCCTGAATACAGCAACTGGGGGATATTTATTATACATATACATTTATGGGGATTTGTCGATTTAATGGCCCGAGCAAGTTTCTTTTCTAAATTCGAAGAAACGCGCGGGCACGAGCTTTGGAACGAAACGCAAATGGCAATTCAGAGATTTCAGAGAACCTTCTTTTCTTTTCTTTACTTCTAAACTTTTAAGAAGTAGCTGCATTCATCCACGAGGATGAAAAGTGTTCAATCGATGGATGGATTTTGAAATCGATTTCAATCGGACTGTCAGGAGAAATGTAGCTTGTCGTCGAAGCGTTTCGAGAACTTGAGAAATGAACGCGGGAATGTAACGATGAGAGGCATTACAAATATCTTGTATATGTCTTCGTCAAAAGCATTCCGTTTACATACATGACGATATCGGAATATACAAGTAATAGCTTCTGATTAGACGTAATCGAGTAACGTTTCATTCATGAAAAATTACATGCCCGCAACGACGAATTATATTATCTTGCCTTTTGTGCGGTTACACATTGTTTCACGAGTATGTTCATCGCGTTTCGATAATTGTAAACGTGTATCATGCCTCGAAATACAGGCTTTGCTGTGTTCTATTGCTTGTACTATCTTGCGGAAGAACATACTAGAAAAATCCGGGAATCGAATGTTCCTACATTCGAATCGTGAAACATGACGATCCACAGAGTTCATTTTCAATGGCACACATTATCTCCGAATAATAAATCGCAAAGATATCAGACTCGATATATAAACAGGTTTCAGCGATGAAATGCACCTATAGTTCGTTTGAAATCAATCGAACACTCAAGGTTATCAATGCGTAACCTTTTCCCTGATTGTTTAACGTAAAAAAAATCTTATTTATCGTTCTTTGCTGTTAGTGACGCGTGGCGATGTATCGATTCGGTTATTTAACCCGTAAAAACTAACTAAATAAACACATATTTATCACGATTGTCAATTACAATTATAATGAGGATTGCCGAGACATTAGTATCACTGTACCTTAGACCTGAGTTTTGATAATTCAATAACAATAGCAACCAAAAGTTAAATGACCAATCGTCAATCGGATTCTCTTATCTGAACATAAACTTTTATTAACCGAACGAAAAGATGAAGATATTCTATTCAGAATTAATAAAGCCCCATTACATAAACCTTTTATCTATAGACTCAGGCAAAATTATGTTTTACGATACTTTACAGGAAAGAATCAATCCACAGCACCATAAAGCCTTGGAAGATTAATCGATCTTATGTAAACAGAAAATAAATATCAAAGCAAGGAAAATAAAAGAAATGAAAAGAAGAGAAAAGGAAAAAGGCGAAGTAAAGTAACTTGAAAACGTATGTGCCGTGAAGGCTGCAGACGAGCCGCGCGTGCAGAGCCAGGCAGAGTAAACGGAAGTGCTATTGCCCGTTGGGGATAGGAAGCGCCGATCGCTCGATCGAACGGTTCGAATCATAGAAAACAGTTAAAAACGCGCGCTCTACCGCCGCCCAAGTATCGGAGAATGCGTACGAGGTGGTACGGAAACCGACTATCACGGGTTTATACCGGATAAATCTTGTTTCTTCCCGTGTTGCGGACTGTTCTCCATCGCTGTCCCTCGGACGTTTCCCTATCTTTCTCGGTAAGTCTCTGGCCGGTGTTGTCAGAGTCAGACACACGCTCGAAACACGAGTGTGCCCATAGGAGAACGTTAGTAGCAAGTGAGAGAGTTGTGTCATGTTTGCCGATCTTGCCAACAACTTCTAGACCAGACAGCCAGCCAGCCAGTAAACCAACCGAGCCAGGCAAACCAACCGGTCAGTCAGTCAGTCTGCAAGGGAAGGGACCGAATATTTGGCCCGACTACGTCTGACTACGCACGCATTGTTACTGCTGTGCACACCATGTGCGTTATACTACTGTGTTCATAAATATCGAAACACTTGAGAAAAGTTATAGTGGATCTGTCATGGATAACTTTATTACTATTTTGAAATTAATGCTATATTAATACTGTAATGAAACACTGCTATGATTACATCAGTCAAATTTTTGAAACTTTATTAGGATAATTTAATATATATATATATATATATATTTATGTCAAACATACACCGAATATTTCACAATTCGGTCATCTGGTCAGATATAGTAAATGATATCTAAACATTATTATCGGCAGGTAAATATCTCTGTGGGAGATATAAGAAAAAAAAAAAAGAGAGGCAGAGAAAGAAGAGGAGTAAAGAAAGACAGAGAAGAAGTCGAATGGTTACAAAATTTATGACAGATGGAATAATATTGACACCGATTCCACATGACCTTGAGGATGTTCTCTAAGACTTGTCCATTCGATACATCAACGACCCGGGAATCCTTGGGTGAGAGGGGCTCCGGCAATTTGCATTTTAATTACTTCTTAGAAAGGGTCCGTGTTCGAGATGATTAATTTATAGCGTATTAATTTATAACGAATAGAAGTAGAACAGAGGAATCTGGTGGTTAAATCTTTTTTTTTTTTTTTTTACTTTTTCTTTTTTTTCATTCTCTCGGATAGGACATTCGACGACTAGAAGGAATTTTGAATCGGATGAAGTTCGTGCATATTCGATGAGGAAGACACTGTTTAACCTAACGGTACGGTTAATTAGAGCCGATTTATAGTATTGGTGGGTAGCTCGTGGAATGTTTTCTGCTGGATTTCCTTTTGCTGCTGTCCTGGTGAGCGTACATGTTCTAACGCAGTCTAACAATTTGTCCTATTATATGAGCTTCACTATCGAACGACAACTTAAGCTTTAGAATATTCGTTCAGTACATAATTTCTTGCATACGTTCTGTTGCATTTATCGTTCTTAATTTGAACTATTACTAAATTTTAATATAATTTTTATAAATTTTTCTGTGAAACATCTGTTATATCGTTTGTTGTATTAAAAAGGTACGAATTTTTAAATTTTTAAATTCCGTGACTTTGTTTGAAATAAATCTTTATAAAAAATTATTTCAATACTTAGATATTTAATTCAGATTTAATTCTACGTTGTATGTGAATCATCTAATATTTTTAACGCTTAATTTAACGCTTCATTCGATGTTATAGTGATGGTAAATGATGTTGTAATTGAGAATAATGGACTTGTAACTGAGAATAATGGAGTATTAACTTCTTATTATACGAAGAGTATAATACGTTCAATGCTAACCACGCGAAAAGATTGAAATCCTCCGAACATCTTTCCTTTTAATTTTTTACTTATACTTCTACGTAACATGAGATAAATGGGAAAAAATTCCTACACCTTCTATATGAACTTAACACAATCCAAATAAAAAAAAGATCCTACGCAAACTTAACGTAAGTCAAATACTCGAAAATTCTTCTCCATAATATTTCTTTTAAATACAAGCAGAATAAAATATTCCCTACGTTCTAAAATTTTAACACATTATATTTAACTAGGAAGAAATATTTGAACTGTATTTGAAGAAAGAAAAAGAAGAAGAGAAAGCCCGCTAAGACTTCTTTGCAAATTTCAGAGTAAGTAGCGCTATAATACTATTATTTGACCAAAGGAAAATGAGAGAAGTGGAAAAGTAAAAATAAATTAAGGCCACCGCTTACCAAGCGACGAGATGAGGTTTCCCCAGAGTTCAGCAGTCTGCCAGGCAAGGAAAAAGAACCCGAAGAACCTGACGACGATGGCGTCAACCGGCTGATCGGTGAGTTTCGCGTAAACGCCACCGACCTGGGTAAGATAGGTGGCTTGGGCTGCCCACATGGGTGCAGCGCCCAGACCAAGGAGCACGCCAGCCGGTACCAGGGTATAAAATTTCGGATAGAACTGGGAGCCGATGTACGGTGCGTAACACAGCATCGACAAACATAACGTCCATTTCACGGTGAGCCTTTTGATAAGGAAGGTCGGCACGAAGATGCATGATAGCACCAAAGCCGCGTAAATCGCTGACAGAGACACGGTGCCTAGACCATCACTGGCATTGATAGACGATTGTAGATTCGCTGTGCCTTGAAACGCGGTGAACTGCACCATAAAAGCCACGGATACGGTGCCAATGTTCTTTAAGATCCGCCATTTCTCGCCGCGGGAGAGCTTAAACTTTCTGGATTGGGTGTCGTCGTCGGTGGACGATAATTGCGGTGGTTTCTGTGGCTCAGGAGGTATGCCGTCGGTACCATCGTCCTTGTAACCCTCGTTCCTGTAACCGACACCACTCACGGTCACCGTGTACACGGTTTCATCGCCACCGCCGCCTCCACCGTCTCCGCCGCCACCGCCACCCACACTTCTGGTACCGTCGTGTTGTGAGATTACCATTCTACGTGTTTGCTACCTGCAACATTGTCGATTAATCGGCCGTTAGTACACTTCAACATAAATATCCAACTTAGTATTATTATAAAATAACGTCAGAATAAAATAACATCTTAAATCGTTCGAAGTTCTGCCACTTTCTCCCTGCTGAACACTCCATGAAAGAAACTATCCCTTTCAAAAAAAAAAAAAAAAAAAAAAAAA